ACAGAGCTGTGGATCGGGCTGAATTCTCGTCCACTTTTTTTTTTTTTTACAAGACTGTTGAATCCCATCTTTTCCGCGTTTTTCGGCGTCCGAAAAGCCTCCCGTCCCTCTTCGGTTCGCTTCCTCGGGAGTAAGGCCCTTTGACTTCCACGCGCCCAGTAAAGCGTTTCTGCGGTTATTTCTCGGCGGGGAAGGGGTTGGGGGAAGAAAGACATTTCCTAAGGAAATGCCTCGTAATCATTCAACCGACTTCCCCCCTCCTCCCCGTATTTTAATATTCCTACATCCTCCTTTTTAAGAGGAGGGGAGGTATGAATGTCTACTTGTTTGTCTTGAAGAACGAAATAATATTTATTTTCCGCTTTCCGCTTTTATGAAAAATGCACACAGCACTTGCTTAGGGGGAGAATAAAAAAAAGATCAGTCCACACCACCATTAGGATTTTATTTTTATACCCGCAAATAAAAACTAGAAAGTTGTTACTAAGTTCCGTCCTTAAATAATATTGCTAATTCGATCGGATTTTAACATGTTTGATGCCAGTGGTTAGATTTGTCCTAGTTAAAATAATTTGGTGAGAACAGTACAAAGAAATCGTGTTAAACCTAGGGAGGGGGGGAAATTTTTCCTCCCACATCCCAAAGAAATCCCGATTAATTTCACTGGAAAGCTATTTTCAGCGCCTTGAAGGACTCATTCTATTGTCTGGAGGTGTCAACGGGCGTTACATGTAATTCGTTGTCGTGAAATCGCAGGATAGAAAGAGGTAGGAGTGTCAGGCTCCCGCTCTCTTCTCCCCCCCCCTAACCAAACTCAAAAACAAACTCAATCAAATGGCTATTTAAATCTGAATTTTCCTGCACGCTTCGAATTAAGACACGGCCGGAGAACGGCGCGCAAACTCGTGATTCGCGGGTGGGAGCGAATGGAAAAAAGTAACTGGGGGGGGGTCGTAAGGGAGATGCTCCCGTTTTTGAGATGCAGAGTGTCCATCAAAAGAGGGAGAAATACATTCTTCTGAATGAAATCAATTCCAATTAAAGTTACATTATTTTTTTAAACCATATTTTGTTTTCACTTGAAATAAATCCAGTATATTCATAAGACTGTAGCCACTCTCTTTTATTCCTTTCTGGCCCTATAAACAGCCTTGTCCAAGCCGCTTCTCAGAAGGGCTTATTTGGGCTTTGTCCACTGGATTGTCCACTGAAAAGCACCGGATCTGGCGCGGTGGGAACCCGAAGTCTCCTAAACCGGATTGAAAATCGGAAGCGGAGTGGCGGTAGCCACTTTGAGATCAACCCAGTTGTGCTCTGTAGGTTAGAAAGGGCGCCGTCAGTTCTTCTAACCAGGGACAAATCGGGCGTCGGATCCAGTTCAGCTTCGCATTGGTTTCCATGGGGGTTGATCCGATTTAAACTGGATAAAGAGGGCGTGGGGGGGTGGGTGGAGGAGGAGATCCTTGAACCCCGAGCCTTTCGACTAAAATGGACCCAATGCTGTTGACTTAAGTGTTCTTTTGTTTTAAAGCACAACCTCGCAGAAACAAAAGAACGCCGTTTATACAGGAAGGGCATTTGATCCGAATCGACGCGCGACCCCCGTTTCTGGAGGCGCTGGGGGTGGTCGACGGGTTCTCGCTAGGCAAGGGACCGGCTCGGTTGAGGGGCTTCTCCGGGGAAGCCCAGGCCTTTGCATGGGCCTCCGGAAAAGCCAGCCCCGGCGTCCAGCCTGCTTCTCGGCGCCGCAGGCCTGGTTTACACGGCAGCCGCACCGGTGCCGGCTTCCTAGCGGCGCCGGGGTGCTCGGTCCCTCTTGCTTATTGTCCAGGTCCGAGAGAAGTGCTTCAACCAGGGGGGAAAAACAGGAGGCCAGTTGGATTTCANCCAGTTGGATTTCAGCGGCTGCTGTCCTGTTTTTCGCCCTTATTTTCCTTCCCCCTTTCTTCTTTTCCCTTCCTTCGTATTAGTTTCTTTCTTTCTTTCTTTCTTTCTTTCTTTCTTTCTTTCTTTCTTTCTTTCTTTCTTTCTTTCTTTCTTTCTTTCTTTCTTTCTTTCTTTCTTTCTTTCTTTC